TTGCTTCTGAGTCTGCATTCTCAACTGGAGGTTGGATACTTGATTCCTTTAGGAGTTTATTAGGTGCAAGAATGGTTGATGGTTGTATATGTGGAAAGAGTTGGTTGCAAATTAAGAATGAACCTATAGTGCTGCGTCAATATTTAGATGAAGTGAAAGCATTTGATGATTCAATGAAAGTTGTGGCAGGTGATTTATATTTTCTGTTACCATATTTTTAAAGACTCTCTTATCTATCTAGTATCCAATACTATAATGATGTAACGAATGCATTTTTTTTTTTTACAATGGAGACTATGAATCATGTGTGACAACAATTGATGTTTGAGTATATGTGAGAAATAGAATTCGTAACAATATATAACGATAAGCTTGTGTAATTGTTATGTTTAGATATTATAAACAATTGATTTATTATTATAGTTGGTTATTCTCTCTGTCTTGTAATGTTATCGTAACATCTTAGCCTAAAATGGCAAACAAAAAACTATATTTTAGCTTATTGTGATCTCACTTTAATTTAGTTGGTATTTAAATTTGTAGTAGATATATTTAGACCCTGTTTGGCCCTCATTTTCGGGTATTGAAATTTTTTAGAATAGTGATTGATGGAGAATGTGTGGTAGAAAAGTAATGAAAATTCTAGATTTGTTTGTAATATTATTTTATTTGATGAATATGTTGTTGAAATGAAGAAATTGAAAAAATTAATGTGATGTAATGGAAAAAAATGGGGGCCAAACGGGGACTTAGTTTGTTTTAGATTTATTGAATTCAATGAATTAATGTTATAAAAGTAGACAGACAAAAAAAATATACAGCGAAATCGATGATTTAAAATCAGACCAAATCGTTTGGTTTAAGTTTTAGATTTTTTCACGGTTTGGTTTAAGTTTTCTCAAATCGAATTAAGCGGCTTGAAAATTTGTCAAAAACCAGTAAAATCGGACGACTCCCACGCACCACTTGATTTCATATTTGTAATAAATTACTTTCCATTGACAAAATCCGAGCTGAGATTTTTGTAATAAATTCATCCTTCTCAAAATTCAAGGCTAAATTGGAACAATAGCATAATGTGTAGGTTACAGTACACGAGGGGACTATAAATCATCAAAACAGTGGGGAAATGCAAGCGCGATTTGTCTAGTCCCCTCACTGTAGTCTTGGCGCCATCACACTGATTCCAGTAAAGATCAAATTTTTCAATTTGTCATCTGATTATTCTAGGTGATTGCGAATTAATTCATGTTTTATGTGTTAACGTAGATACTCGTTTGATGTTATAGAATTGTAAGTAGTGGTTAATGTTGATTGTCAATTTTGAAGTGGATTGTTTATGTTTTTGGTTGATTTTATTTTTGATTTTGGTTTTTAGCCTGAAATGGGTTTGCAACTTTATCGGTTTTACAGCGGGTTATGAACTCATGATTGTTGACCAGAGAATTTTGCTTTTTTATATTGTTGAGACTGGGAGGGAGGGTGTAAATTATGGATAGTTTTGCGTACTTGTTATCTGTGTCATTATATTTGGAATTCTCAAGTTACTAATTTCTTGTTTGGTGTAATGGATTTTTGAATTTCTTTAATTTTTATGATACAATTAGGATTCTCCTTTGCAATTTTCCTTTTTATTTATTTATTTATTTATATTTAATTTGTATCTTTTTTTCCTCATCAAAGAAATGACACCCTTTTTGCCCATATATTATTAGATTTTAATTGGTCGATCTGAAGTTCTGCTACTATGTTACTTTTGAACTTTTGTCAGGTTTTTTGTTTGACAATTCGAATTTTATTTTGTTTCTGCTCTGAAAATCAAAGTGGATTCTTCTGTTTGTTTTAACTAGTTTTAGTTTCGCCTCTTGCTATGTGGTTTGAATATTTGGAATTTATTTCTCCTCCTTTCTTTTACCAATTTTTCATGGGGGTGTTTTTCTTCTTCTGCAGATGATAAGTGGCTGTTCAGAATTTTATTTTTCGAATTTTATGTTAGATTGATTCATAGTAGTTATAGAATTAGTCTCATTTTGTACCACTTGTTTAGATTTAGATTTAGGTACTCGTTCCTTGTAATTGATACTGCAAATCTTGTTAAAGAACTGCTTTTGTATTTTTAATGTTTTTGTTGTACCTGCATTTTGGTAGCTTAAGTTTCAAGCATTTTTTAATTCTGCCATCTTTTTTCTGGCAAATTAGTTGTGCGTGAAAAAGGGCATTGTCGACATTGATCTATATTGGAAAGATTGCTTCTTTATACTTGCATTTTAATGATAACTAATTGCAAGATACAACTTTTCATGACATTCTGCTAATACGAGGTAACTTGGAAGCAGTGCATAATAAATGTTTATTTGACCATGTATCGATTTTGAACATGTCACCAGTCAAAAATTAAAAAAAAAAACTATAATGTATATTCCCTGAATAACTAAAATTAGCTTTCTTATGCTTGACAGTTGCTGTTTTTTGCATTAATTTGTTTACGATATATGGCTTCAGCATGTATGCTACAGTTAAGTTACCCAATTGGGTTTACAATGAAACCTAGAAATAAATACAAAAGAGTGGAATTTGCAGTGCTAATTGGTTCTTGCTATTCCATTTCATTTGATTAATGCTTTCAAATTTCATTTACAGGCGTAGTTTTTGTCGGCAGCTTATAGATCAAGCATTCCCATGGCTGATTCCGAAGAAAATAATGCATTATTTCCTATTTTTATTTTGTCGATGATTGCCTTGCCTTTAGTGCCTTATACAATTCTGAAGTTATTCCGTGTAGCCTCTAAGAAAACAAAATGCATCAACTGCGAGTGTTCTGATTGCTCCAGATCAGAGAAATACCGTAAATCAGTTTTCAAACGGGTCCATTACCTTTTGCTCATTTAACACTCTTTTATTTACTCTTTGGTATAGCTATATTACAATTTTTGTTCCAAATTTATTTTTGTAGAATACGAGTGTCTCAACATGTGGAAACTTGACTCTTGTGCTGCTATGGATTATTATGGCTATTCTTGTTTATTACATAAAGCACATGAATAGTGAGGTACACACTGACCAATTCTAATCATGTTAACATATGTAAACCAGTTTTTTTCTGAACTTGCTCCAAAACATTCGGTCATGTTTGTCATGTAATCTATTATGTACATTATTTTCTTCAATTATGGGACAATGAATTTGTTTGAAGGTAGTACTTTTTTTATTTTCTCAGATTCAAGTTTTTGAGCCGTTCAACATCCTTGGATTAGAACCTGGAGCTTCAGATTCCAAAATTAAGAAGGCATACAGGAGACTTTCTATACAATACCATCCTGATAAGAATCCAGACCCAATCTAATTATTAAGTTCTGAAATGATATTTTACCTTCAAATGATGTAATATAGAAACCTTGTTCTGCCTGACAGTAAGTTGCCCTTAATTATGATTATTTTGGAATTTCAGCTGCTCATAAGTAATTTGTCGAGTCCATATCCAAAGCTTACCAGGCTCTGACAGATATAGTTTCCCGTGAGAATTATGAAAAGTATGGTCATCCTAATGGTAGACAGGTAAAATATCAGTAGGGAGAAAATGTTTTCCTCTACATCTGGATCAAATTTGAATGAAAAGCAAAACCTGACATTATGATTTCTTGATGTAGGGGTTCCAAATGGGAATTGCTCTTCCACAGTTTCTACTTAATATTGATGGTGCGTCGGGTGGGGTATTGTTAATTTGGATTGTTGGGGTCTGTATACTGTTGCCACTGGTGGCAGCGGTTGTATATCTATCTAGATCTTCAAAATGTACTGGAAATTATGTCAAGAATGATACACTGGGTGCCTATTTCCATTTAATGAAACTTTCCTTGGCCCCGAGGTATGCATTACTTGCTACATGTGTTATTGTTGTCGTTTCTACCTAACATTAATAGGATAATGCATGGTTTAAATGCAGATATATCCGATCATTTTTCACTTACCTATTAAATCTTTAAGTTATTGTCTCTTTCTAGTTATTCACTAACCAGAAAAAACTTAGTGAATTTAAATTAGAGATATTTAGTTTATTTTTTTAAATTTTTTTGTGTTTTATTAAAATAGTCATGTGCTAATAGAAACTGAAAAATAGTTTTCTCATTCTATGCTGACTATGGTCATGTTCCAATTTGAGTAGAGGTGAAGATACTCACAGTAATGTTAGCACTCTGTTCACATAGATCCATATCATTGCAACATTGAGAAAAAATGACCTTTTGAGAATTTTTATGAGTTCCCCGTTTCTGGTGAAACTTAATATTGTTGTAGTGATTTTGTTGTGTCATACCACCGCATATATTTTATTGACATGTATACCATGATGCCTTTGATTGCAGCAAAGTTATGGAAGTCTTCATTAAGGCTGCTGAATTTGTAGAGATTCCTGTTAGAAGATCTGATGATGAACCCCTACAGAAACTCTTTATGGCAGTAAGGAGTGAGTTGAACTTGGACCTTAAAAACATTAAAAAGGAGCAGGCGAAGTTTTGGAAGCAGCACCCTGCACTTGTTAAGGTAAACTTAAGAAAGTGAACTGCATAGGTGGAGCTTTTGGTTCTGGCTGTTGCATTTAAAACCTGAATTCTTTACTTATTATGTGTTGATCCAATCATACTCATCTCCTCTGTATTCCTCAGACAGAATTGTTGATCCAAGCGCATTTAACTCATGAAACAGCGAATTTATCCCCGGACTTGGAGCGTGACTGCAAGCGTGTGCTGGAACTCGCTCCTCACCTTCTTGAAGAGCTAATGAAGGTATGTATTTTCAGTATACGTATACATAGCCATGTGAATGCAAAAAGCTAATTTTGAACCTTTCTAAAATCAAATTCTGCATGATAATGTTGTTTGTCTACACTTCTGAAGTTCATTCCTATACTGCTCGATAACTTGAGATTAAATTTGGGAACATACCCAGCTGTCATAGTTTGTGTATATATTTTTTGCCATTAATAAAATGTCTCCTTTTTCTTCTTCTGATTCGTAATCTAAGCACATGGAGAACTGTAATTCTTTGGAAAGAAGAGTTATCTTCTTATGGACATCCTAATTCTCTGATTCTAGGCCCATTTGGAAATAAAAGTTACCATCTTATAAATGTATTGATTTTCTATTGCATCCAACTCAGCCGATCTTAGTTGCAACTTGCAAATACCCTTGGGTTTTTGCCCAAATAATCATATGTCAACAGTCATCTTGACTGATTTCTATATTTCAGTCAAGGTTTTGCCATTTACTTTACATATCCTTTATTCTCAATGTCATAGAAAAATATTTAAGCACCTCTGACTTCTTGTCTTGTCAAAGAATGATATCAAAAATGGGTAACAGAGAATTAAGTTACAGGAGGATGGAGAGATGGACAAAAATTTCAGAATACCAAATGCTAAAATTTATTTTAAACGGAAATTTTGATTTCTATATGCTTGCTTTCCTGTTTGAGAAAAGGTGAAAAATTGTGAAATATGAATACCTCTTGCTGTTGATACTCGAGTTGTGAGGCATAGCATAAATTTTTACTTTTCAGAACATGAATTAACACATTATGTCAGTCTTCTCTATCATTTGATGTGCATTGAACCTGCCTCATACTTTGATGAATTCTTTGCTTACCATGATCAGATGGCACTTATTCCCCGTTCTAATAAGGGGCATGGCTGGTTTAGGCCTGTAATAGGAGTTGTTGAACTTTCACAAAGTATTGTTCAGGTATTGTTCAACGACATTTTGCAATTTATTTTTCATCTTCGGTAATAGAAAACTAAACTTATTCCATCTCATGAGAATTCTTTATTGGGCAAAAGACTTGGCCCTTTTGTGGAAGAGATTTTTTCAAAAAAACGTTTTTTTTTTAAAGTGATTTTTTTGGAGGATGTGGTTAAAAAGTAGGAAAAAATTATGAGGAAACATGGAAAATGTTTTCTTTTTGGAAAAAATTAATGTTGCTGCACCTAACAAGAATATTACCTTATATAGTCCTAATATTTAATTAATCAAGAATGTTAATTTACACATACAATGGACTGTGGTGCAGGCTGTTCCTCTCAGTGCAAGGAAGTCTGAGGGCATTGCTCCATTTTTTCAGCTTCCAAATTTTAATGATGATATTGTCAAAAAGATAACACGCAAGGTGAGATATCTTCTCTTATGATAATTTTCTCCTTGTTAGAGCTATATCAATTAGTTGTCTTAGCTGGAGAATTGGAAGTCTAGATGGAAAAATTAAAGAAAAGGCCTGACTATGAGAAACCTGAAACTTAGCTTAGGAAGTCTAGGTAGTGATTTAAAAACAATTTGGAAATTCAGAGGATTGCCATATTACATCATCAGCAATGATTTGAAAGCATACCTTGGTTTGACATTAGAGCAGATTTTGTGTATTTATATTTTTCTGGGAAAGAGGTAATGCTATCCTCGAATTTCATTGTCAAGAAAAAGGTGCAATGAAGCTGAGTTGAATAATTTATGTTTCTAAATTGTTGAACATTTTCAAGAACTTATATTGATAAGGTGATAATATAATGGTAGTTCAGCTTCTCTGGTAAATTAGTACCGTGGTATTTTATTAACGCAGTTCAACTTAACAACCAAGTCTAGTTGAATGTTTGGATTAATTGGATTCCCCCCCCGCCCCCTTTTCCCTTCTTATTGATAGTAATTTTTTGTTTTCATGTTCTTCTCAATTCTCATGATCTTAATTCTTTCACTGCTTGCAGAAGGTATGCACATTTCAAGAATTTCAGGAAATGACCATTGAAGAACATGCCGAACTATTTTCTCAAGTAGCCAACTTCTCTGCTTCTGAAGTGGGAGATGTGGAGAATGTACTGAAACTGATTCCTTCTATGAAAGTTGAAGTTACTTGCGGAACTGAAGGTGAAGAAGCCATACAAGAGGGTGACATTGTTACGGTTCAGGTTTGGGTGACACTGAAACGTGCTAATGGTTTAATCGATGCCCTACCCCATGCCCCCAATTATCCATTCCACAAGGAAGAAAATTTCTGGTGTTTACTCGCAGACACCAATTATAATAGTGTGTGGTTCTCCCAAAAGATCAGTTTTATGGATGAAGCTGCTGCGGTGAGTGCTGCTTCAACAGCAATCGAGGAGAGAATGGAAGTGCTTGGAGCCAGCCCAAAGGAAACTAGCTCCGCTATAAGAGAAGCAGTTGAGAAAGTCAAAAATGGGTGTCTACTTGCAATGGGGAAGTTCCTAGCCCCAGCCGAAGGAAATTATTTTAGTGAGATTACTCACAGAATAGTCTCGGCCCTTTTTTGTCTTGATAAATAGGGCCCCGTTGAGAAGCCACTAACTTGACTTGCTATTTATTATGTGATTCTTGGATTGGTTGTGACTGGAAATCGAGCTTAAAACTGAAAGTTTTCAAGAGGACTCGTGTTGACATTCAAGGTGGTCAAGTGACTGATGAAGGATTGATTCCTGAGGATGGAATTGATGAAGAAGGGGAGATCGAAGAAAAGGAGGATATTGAGAGTGAGTACAGTGAAGATGAAGATGATACTCAGGATACGAATAAGAAGGGAAGTGCCAATGGCAAAGTTCATGAAAAGAGCGGTTCAGAAAGTTCCGGCTCAGACGAAGAGTGAAAAACCCTTGCTATAGTTTAATTGCAGTGATGAGATGACAATTTACCCTTTTCTAGGTTTTTAATGTTACAAAGATTAGATTTTGAACCTAGATGTGTTAAACATTTCTGACTTGATTATAATTGCTAGAATTTCATTTATTAACTTTTATAAATTTGACCTGAAGGGGGAAAAATTATAGTCTATGTTTGGTGTAGCTTAAAAAGTTGATAAAAATATTAGTTAAAGTCATCAATTAATTTTAGCTTTTAACAAATTTTCAACTGTATATTTCATCTACTTTTATCATGGAGTTAGCTAGCGATGCCTAGGTCACGAGCTTGTAGCGATGGCAAGACACGTGTAACCTCATTGCAAATACTCTGCCAAACATTGAATTCTGTATTACCATTTATTTCATCATGTCTTGCACAAAATGATTTTTCGACTCAAAATACCGTCATATTTTCCTACCAAAAAGGCCTTCTAAGGCTTATATTTATTGAAGAACGCACATTTGTTTGATTGGCTCGACCCAATCAGATTGCATAGGACAAATGTAAGAACGAGCTTTTCATATCAAAATCTTAGTACATTATTGCATCAAATCTTACATTTCTAGTAGTTGTTTCTCTTTTATTGCATTTATTAACCACATTTCTTGATGCTTTCATCCAATCAATTCTAGTACATTCACTTCACTGCCCTGATTTTATGTAATTCTCATAAACCAGCTGGGCACTCAGAAGATCGACAACTGCAGAACCAACGGATTTAAACACGGTAATTTCCTCAGAACTCCTCCTCTTCGGCTTCTCCCCCTTGATCAATCCTACCAAATCGCCTGCAATTTCATCCTTCGTGATGACTCCTTTCTCAAATGCACCAACCAATTCCCCAGCCTCTGTCAGCGCAGCCTCATTATCGACAAACACTCGTCCCCTCCTTATAGCATCATTGTCACATTCTTTCATCGAGTGTTTAAATGATCCCACCAAATCCAGATGTGTCCCGGCCTTCAAATCCACTCCCTTCACCAATGGAATCTCTGAATTTGTAGCACAGCTGATAATATCGCCCTCTTTCACAACCTCCTCCAAATTACACCCATTGCACTGGAAACGAACCCCTACAAAGCCACTCTCATTTCTCATTTTCTCAGCCAAATTTCTTGCCTTCTCTTCAGTTCTATTCCAAATGACCACTGTTTTGACTCCTGGCCTAACACTCAAATGAGCCCTGATCAAATGTGGCGCTAAAGAACCAGCACCAATCATCAAAAGGGTTTCCGAATCCTCTCTCGATAAGTAAAACGAAGCTAAAGCCGATAAACAAGCAGTTCTATAATAGGTGAGTTCAGTGGCGTCGATTGAGGCCAAGGGTTGTCCAGTTAGTGAATTGAATAGCACATAACTCGCCTGCACCCCGGGTAAGTTTTGTGTTGAATTGTTGGGATGATAAGTGACTAATTTGATCCCGACGTAGGGAAGGGAAGGGGAGAGAGACCAAGAGGGCATGAGGAGGAGAGAAGATGAAGGGCTTGTTTGGTGGGCATGGCGGATGGGGGAGTGGATTGTGGGGGAGAGAGTTGGGAGAGTGGATTGGAGGTGGTGGATTAGGGATTTGTGGGTTATGAGGGACTGAAGTGAGGAAGTGGAGATGAATATTGGTGGTGTGACGGCGGCGGAGGCGGCGGTATTTAGTTGGTCTTCCTTGGTCGTCATGGAGGAGAGCGTATGAAAGTTGGGAATTTTGTTGGTCTAGTGCCGGGGTCGAGGATGAACGTTGACCATATAGCTTGCAGGTCAGTCGACTTTAGCATGTTTATAAATTATTTACCTATATTTAAATCAATTTTTATCCAGTCTACAAATATTATTTACTTATTAATCATTTATTTATAATATAAAATAGTTTATAAACACTTTCCAAATCCGCCTAGTTTTAAACTTCAGTACTCGTCTTTCTCCTTATTTTACCATCTTTTTAAACTGATGAGAATTGTTTAGTTATTTGTTAGACTTATGTTGAAGTGCTCGAAAATGGATGATCGAAGGGGTGACTGACCCTCACATTGCGCGTGGGTCTCGAGTGAACAAAATAATGTCAGACCTCCGAGGTGTGTGTGTTCGGTCATCTCCAATGTTCGTGTAACATAATGTAGTCCAGTATTCTTTTTCATAGGTATTGTTTCGCGCGGGTTCGCTCGCTAACAATTAAAAGGAGATCAAACGATTATGTAAGGGACAAACCTCTTGAAGGAGAGCGTATGAAAGTTGGGAATGTTGTTGGTCTAGTGCCGGGGTCGAGGATGAACGTTGACCATATAGCTTGCAGGTCAGTCGACTTACGCATGTTTATAAATTATTTACCTATATTTAAATCAATTTTTATCCGGTCTACAAATATTATTTACTTATTAATCATTTATTTATAATATAAAATAGTTTATAAACACTTTCCAAATCCGCCTAGTTTTAAACTTCAGTATTCTTGTCTTTCTCCTTATTTTACCATCTTTTTAAACTGATGAGAATTGTTTAGTTATTTGTTAGACTTATGTTGAAGTGCTCGAAAATGGATGATCGAAGGGGTGATTGACCCTCACATTGCACGTGGATCCTGAGTGAATAAAATAATGTCAGACCTTCGAGGTGTGTGTGTTCGATCATCTCCAATGTTCGTGTAGCATAATGTAGTCCAGTATTCTTTTTCATAGGTATAGTGACGGATTGTGATGGTTGGAGACAATTTTTTAAAGATATAGAAGAAGATCTACATAGATTGCTGTTGTCGGATACTTTGATGGTTTGAGTTGAAAACTTAGATTTGCTCCAATTAATTTTAAATTTAATTGTTATGTCTTTTTAATGGCCACAAATAATTGTTAATTTTTCCCTTGAATATTTTTAATTATTGTTTGAAATATTAATGTTTTGAGAAATTAATGTATTTTTCTTTTTCTTTATTTCACTCACACATTTTTCAATAAAATAATATTATACGTAAATTCGAAATTTTTTCTTCTTTCTTAACAACATGTTTTTCAAAAAAAAAAATCACTATTTCAAAATATATTTTTCCTTAAAATTAATTTCAAAGGAGCCCAAACAAAAGCGTAGTTTTACGAGAAAATTATGACATCCACCTATTTTTTTAATAAATATTTAGAATATACTTTTTAACTTTTGTTTAACCATAAATGTTGTTTTTTAATAGTAAAATAGAAATGTGAAAACTTAACCAAATCATATGGGCTACTCATTTAGTAGCTAAATTTGCTCCAACAAACTCGTAGTTAACATATCAAATTAATCACAAAATCCCTAAAATGAAGTGATTTGACCTTCCAATCCAAATATCCACCTCAGACCATCTCTGTTCTCTCTAGAATCACGCACCAAGAAATTATCAAAACATAATCATCAAATGCCAAACATTTTTTTAAATGGATTTCGGATTGCATACAGAGACACATACACCATCATGAAATAAGTTAAATATCGATTGAATATCAAAGCACAATTATATTGTAGTAAGAATGCAGAATTCAAATATTCCACCAAGGAGATCTATATTGGCCGATATAGGAAGATTACGATGATTAAAATTATGTTTTCCAACGTAATAATATTACTATTTTATAACTGTATTTAGGTGATTATCTACAATCTTCATCCTTTTTTTAAATTAAATTCTGTTTATGGAAGGACATTTGATGGAAAGATGTGGAATGGGGTGATTCAAAAATACATCAATAAGGGCTGTCCATGGGTCGGTTCGGTTCTGAAGAAATTCGAACTGATTCAAAACTTTCGGGTATTTAATAAATGGACCCGTCGGGTCCAAATATAAATATATAATCGTTCGGGTTCGGTTCGAGTCTGTTCGGTTCCGTTCGGTTCGGTACCATAATTAAATTTTTNTGACATTTCATTCGTAATTTTTACAAATTAATGTAACCCAATTCAAAAACATATAAATAACTAGCCGTCCAATAAAATTAATTCAATGCATACAAATACCAAAAAGTAGATATTAATATTACAGCAAAACTACATAAAGTATATTCATTTGTTTCAAATTAAAATGGGCTAATGGATTTTAAAAATGATTTGAGCTTTAAAATTAAAATTATGAAATAATCTGATTTATTTAATTAATTTGCTAATTTGTATAAAAAAAATAAAATAATTCAATTAATTCAATATAAAAAATAAAAAAATTATTTAGTTTCGGTTCTTATTCGGTTTTGGGTCTAGACCTGAGATCCGACCAAAACCCATCGGTTCTCGATTCAGGTACCCTTTCGGGTATTTAATTTATGAAGAACCGCTCGATTCGATTCGAGTTCGGTTCGGTCCGGGACTTTTGGACACCCCTAACATCAATTACAAATTATGGTTTTACTTTTGGAGCTAGTATTTTTAAATATATTTAATATTCTATTTAGTATTTTTAATTAACATTCTCAAGACAAAGTAAGATGTAATTTTATTCGGTCGTGCTACAAGTACAGGAAGGAAATTACAGGAGGTGTACAGGAATTCAAACGGTGATGACGTGGCATTTTTCAAACACAAAAAAAAGGGAAAACGAAATGAAATAAAGGAAGGAAAAGAGGGAGGAAACACGTGAAATTGAGGAAACCTAACATTTCAAAATCCTTCTTCGCCTCAACTCTCTCGTGCAATTTCGACGGCGACTCGTTTTCAAATCCGACTGTTACTTTCAGTTGAAATCAACGAGAGGAGTCGACATCAAGCCTGTGAAACCTTCTCGTTCGGAGACCCCTAACAAGTCGACCATTCTGTAATCCGGCAACCATTTTCGAACATAACCTCACTGCTCCATCGCCGCCGACCAGAGCTTTGAACAATAGGTGGGTTAGCAATGAAGTAATTTTTCACGGATTTTACCGAAATTTTGTTTTTTTGAATTTGACTCGTAAAGTTGGAAGTTCAATTTTTTCCATTATTTTCAGTTTGAATGTGTTAATTTCATGAGTTTGATTCTGGGACGGTGTAAGTAGTGAGTTTGGGTTTGTCGGGTTATGTTCAATTTTGTTCATATATGAGTTCGGTTTTGTCCAGTGTGTTAATTTCATGAGTTCTTTATTTTGATTTTGTTTAGCTTTCAGTTTGACTTCGGTTTTGTTGAGAAAACATTTGGTTGAATTTGGAAATGAGCATAATGAGTTCGATTTTAATGGTGGAGTGGTGGAAATGTTGCCATCATTCTGTCTGTAATGGTGGAGTTATTATGTGTGTAATGGTGGAGTTTGTTGTGTTAGGTGTGTGATGGTTTGATGGAAGAATTAGTTTGTCCTAATTGCTGTATCTGTCTGTAAATAGTTTCTTCTCAATCTCAGGATGAAAGGGGTGAATTTCGGAGTGTGTCACAGTTGTAGAAGCACGATGCATTATTTCAAGGATTGCCCGAGAAAAATTCCATGCACTTGGTGTCCACATGGAATTCAAAAGTGATTTCAGGTTGAAAGGAACACCGGTAACAAGGGGCGACTATTCAAAACTTGTAGTGACGATTGCGGGTACTTCGACTGGGTAAAAAATGAAGAATCAACCAGTGAATCGAGTACCATTAATGAAGCGGTGAATGTTGTGGCCAATGAGGAAACAGAAAATTTGCCCGAAATGTTTGACTCTCTTGCTCGAATAGCCGAGAAACGAGACGTTGAGATTTCAGTGAACGTGACATTTCGCAAGGGAAAAGGGCGTGCGGAGTAGTATGGTAGAGGAAATTGTTGTTGGCTGGCATGTGTAGTTGGTAGTTGTCGAATAGGTATTTGTATCTCCATCGTTTGTACATGCTATCGAAAAATGGTTATTGTATCAAAAACTAGTTCCATTTGTATACTCCTCTTTCCAACCCTTTGCAGGTGCATATTCCTGAATTTTTGGTCTTTGTTAGCTATAGACATTGCAAGAGGTTCCACCCCACAAAATCCTACTGTCGATGGAAATGAATAAAAAACTCAAGGCCTGAATTTCTTCCAAATCCATTCCATTAAAACTGACAAGGGAAACAAATTAGCAACATGAAAATATCTGGCAACCATTGAAAGTGATAAGTTGCATTACGAAACCTTTTCAACAAGTTTGGTAATACACATTCAATGCACTGAATATTAACTGTTATCAAACCAATCACAAACTTCACTTGCAATTCAATATAACGATTGAATTCAAGGGAAATAAGAACGTAGTTATGTTGACAGGTATTGGATCAAATACATGTGAAATTGCACGACGTAATGTACATAGCAAGCCACCGGAAAAAAAATAAACCATACCAGAATGACGAGTGAACTGGACATCAGCGTTGGCAAGTAACAATCTTGAGATGCCTCAACCTCAGGTACAACCCCTTCCACAGTACTCTGTCTACCTCTCGGCCTCTTTCCTTTTCCTGAAGTTGAATTTGCCTGCACGTAAATCGAATATTATAGTCAAACATGGAATGGAATATTATAGTCAAAATGTTGGCGACCATAACATACCTTTGTTTTTTTCGAAGACGACTCTAACGGGCCTCTTCGTCGAAGCTTTCTTGGCGCACCCTTCCTCTTAGACGATATTGGATCTAGTATGTTAACGTCATCAGGGATTCAAGATTCTGACCCATGCGAGATGGCGTGATTAGGATGAGTACTAAAATCTAACTTCGTCAGCGTGAGCTCCTTTTGTTGAACACTGACCCACTCCATTATCGAACGGACCCGTACTTCATCATCCGCAGCAAGGTTAGCGACCTCCGAGAATGCCCGACACATATCATCGTACCTCAACTATGCAGGAGTACTCACCAACCCATCGTAGTTCGCGGCAACCCTCGTGTGTGCTCTACTAACATCCCGCCTCCATCTCTTCATTATAAACTTATCAGGCAGTACCGTGACATCGTTACGAATCAAAACTGTGACTGCGTGCCTACAAAGTATCCCTCGGAACTCAAATAAGTGGCAACTGCATACAATGTCACATTTTGCCCTCGAGAAGGACACATAAAAACTCCTCTTCATCCGACGATCTCCGCACAGTCGAACATCCTCTCGAACCTCGTAACTCATCCCTAAATGTCCCTCTGAAACAGATATGATGTCACAGTAAACCTTCCCAATGAACTCGTTCTGGACTTCCTTGAACTTGGAAATGGTGTAAACCTTTTGAAATTGCTTTTCCATATCGTAATCTGTCACGCACGGAACCATTTGCGAGTATGATTTGAAATCAGCCTGAAACTCCTTCTCCACTTTATTTCTCAGAGCTCTTTCATATTGTTCAACAAATTGCTTCAAAGATGTCTTCGAATGCACATATCCATCGAAAAATGCATTCATACTCTCACTTCGTTGTGTTGTGAACATTCCGGCCCAGAATGTGGTTTTCAATAAGCACGGTACCCACCGCGATCTATTTTCAAACAATCCTGACAACCATTCATTATCGTATAACTCGTACGTATTAATCATTGCTCTCCAACCTTCATCGAATTCTTCAGCACTCTGTGAATCATATACTAATCCATGGATAGTCGAAAAGATCGAAGCCTTATCAGCATGATAGCCAAACTTCTCAGGCAACTTTTTCATGATATGCCACAAACACCACCTATGCTTCGTGTGTGGAAATACAATTTGAATTGCATTTTGCATTGCCCTATCTTGATCCGTAATTATTCCATGCGGTGCTTGACCGTGCATGCACTGCAGCCATGTCCGGAATAGCCAAACAAATGTACTAGTGTCCTCATTAGATACCAATCCACAACCAAGCAGTGTCGATTGCCCATGATGATTAACGCCAACAAATGGGGCAAAAGGCATATCATACTTATTGGTAAGATATGTCGTATCAAAGGTAACAACATCACCGAACTCCTTGTACGCTTGCCTACACCTGTTGTCCGCCCAAAATACATTCTTAAGACGGGAATCGTCGTCTAAATCCATACTGAAATAAAATCCCAAACACCGTGCTTGCATATTCGAAAAATATGATTGTATTGCGGCAGCATCTCCTTCTCCAAGTCGTAACCGTCTAACTTGTTCTATATAATTTCGACAATCCCTCTCCACGAAAGTCATTGTCTCATAACCACCTGCTTCTACCACCGCAGAGTTGTAACTTTTGTGCAATGGAATTCCTGCCATATCGTTCACTTCAAGCTTTCGTTTGACATTTGCAGTAAATTCCCGATTACATCGATACAACCTCGATTTCGAAGGACTCGTTTCATGATTGTGCTCTAATTGGGCAGTGTTTACTCTCCATTGTCCATTATTTAATAAAGACGCTGAGATCCTTGCTTTACAATCCGTTTGGCTTGTTGGTTGTTGCTTCAAATAATTGCTTGAACCATAACTTCTTCTACCCTCACGACTACAAGTGAACGTTACGTATCTCACAACTCCATCAGTCCCCTTTTTCGAATTCCTCTTCTTAACTGGAAAACCCACTTGAAACGCATATCGCTTGTAGAAGTCAAGAATCTCTTTTTCATCATTAAACATCATACCCACCTCAGGCACCTTTACATCATCTTCTCCCAACGTATCATTTGTAACTTCGTTTACATCATTCGTGACATTCTCGTTCCCGGATTCGACAAATAAATCATGCTTCTCTTCCAAAGTTTCCATTCCTGCAATTAAATAATCAATAAGCTTTACGGGTGAACTATCATAAAAAAGTATGGAGTTATTTTGTAAATCAGTAAAAGAAAAACAAAGTTTTTTAACATATAATGCCCAGCAACATTTTTCGAAAGAGGAATTCAACTCCATTGTTGAAGAACTGGGTTCCACTAACTTTGCATATTCGGGTAACATTAATTAAATATTTTTGTTCTTCAATCGAAGGACGGGCAAAGGGGCAAGGGCCAGATTGACGGAGGGGCAAAGGGGCAAGGGGCAGAAGCTTTAACTACAACCCAATAACAGAAACAAATCTTGAACATATTGAAAATGTTGCTGTAAAAACATTGAAAATGGGGAGACGTTGTTGAAAAAATGTTGCTGTAAAAACATTCCAGAAGCGAGGCCACCGTATTGAAAATGTTGTTTCAAAAATGTTACCGGTAAACAGACAATGGGGAGATCGACGGAGGTGACTGTCGTTGTTCCGGTCTGAAAATGGGGAGTTGCTGCAACGGAGTGTTCCGGTCTGAAAATGGGGCGTTGCTGCAACGGAGTGTTCCGGTCTGAAAATGGGGCGTTGCTGCAAAAATGTTACCTGCTTCCGGTCTGACAATGGGAGTGTTCCGGTCTGCAAGAATGTTACCTCTAAATGGGGAGATCGACGGAGGCAACCGTGGTTGTTCCGGTCTGAAAACGGTGGGAAATTATTTGTTTTCCCTCGCTTTCCTTTTGCCTTCTTCCAAGGAGAACTCGATTTTTAGCCTTTTTCTTTTTTTTTTATTGACACGTAAGCAAATTTTAAAAACCTGTAAAGTTCCTGTGAAAGGAGTCCTGTACTCCCAGCATTATTCAATTTTATTTGTAAAACTGCTTGTATAACTCAGAATAGAATGCATTTCACCAAATACCAATGATTTTAATTTTGGAAACTAGTTTTTTTTTTTTTTATTCTTATTCGGTTTTGGGTCTAGACTCGAGTTCCGACCAAAACCCATCGGTTCTCGATTCAGGTACCCGTTCGGGTATTTAATTTATGAAGAACCGCTCGATTCGGTTCGGGTTCGGTTCGGTTCGGGACTTTTGGACACCCCTAGCATCAATTACAAATTATGGTTTTACTTTTGGAAGCTAGTATTTTTAAATATATTTAATATTCTATTTAGTATTTTTAATTAACATTCTCATGACAAAGTAAGATGTCATTAGTATTTTATATTAAGGCATATATAAATTTTTCAGTAATTTTATTTGTAAAACTGCTTGTATAACTCAGAATAGAATGAATTTCACCAAATACCAATGATTTTAATTTTGGAAACTAGTTTTTTTTTTTTTTGAAAATTATAAAAAAAGATATTTATTTATTAAAATTGCTATCAAAATATAATATTTTTACCTTAATCACAAAAAAGAAAAAGAAAAAGAAAAATTGAAAATCCAAAAATTTACTTATAAGCTTAACCAAACATGCAACTCTATATAAACTAGGAACTTTAAAGCATAAGAATTAAACTAAACAATGCCATTCTTTTTGCTTGAATTTTGACAAGTAACACTTCAAATTTTGACTGTTAACCACTTCAGTTTACTGCTCCTGTTTCTCGTTTTGATCCAACGCTATAGGTTTTGTTGAACAGTGTGATTTTAATTCTTCCTACAGTGGCGGCGGTCGTGCAAATGGTACCTGAAATTTTAGAATTTGCGAGTTGTATAAAATTCTTTAATTATTTTTGAAATATAAGCTTTCTGCTGATCGATTCCTTATTTCTGATATCTGGGCTGATGATTCTGTTAGTGATCCAAAAGCTCCCCAGTGGATTCTTGATTTGATAATTTCTTTTTCATGCCTAGTTTTTGCCTTACACTGTTCTATTTGTTCATGCTGATGCATTGCTCAATGTGCCAATTGGAGGATTAAGTAAAGAGAGAATGACACAGACCTTTTATTACAGCCAGACTCAATTCTTTCCTAATCTTTTGTTTCGTCTAATTTTCCTTGTCAATTTATATCATGGCCAGTGGCATGAGTTATTCCTTTAACATTCCAACATTTGTAGAAGTTCTAAAAGACAATTTTGACGAATTTTTTCTATGTTTTATCCACGTCCTCACCAATTCTTTCTGGAAAAGAGAAGATCCACGGGCGTCAGGTTGCTCTTGGAGTTTTTGCATTTCAGCTGCCCCCTTGCATATTAACTTTCATGTTGTCTTGCCATTGTGAACATGTTCCTATAATTGTTAGTCCTTGTAAAATATACACGAGAATGCCGTTTTGGTTTAACAATTGGATTTAATTATTAATATACGCCTGCATGCTACTTCTCTCTCTAGAATCTAAGATAGCATATACTTGTAAGTTCTTTTATATAGTTAAGTCCCATACCTCACTATTGATAATCGTTTCTCCTCTCCTGCTTTCATTCCGATTGTTTTCTAAAGTCTCCAAGTCTTACAAATTCTTTAACTGTTAGCTTCTGGCTGATTCACTAAGTTGACAATACATATCGTTATTTTTCTGCATACCTAATTCATTCGACACTATAATGAAAGATAAAAACACTCCATGCTGTGAATCTGAGTGGTGGGTTAATCTTGTGATATCTTTTGCCCTTGTTGCATTTGCTAGCATCACATCTGGTCTTAGTTTAGGACTCTTGTCACACAGCAAAGTTGATCTTGAAGTTCTCATAAAGTCTGGTGTGCCTCGAGAGCAAAAGAATGCTGGTTAATATATACTTATTTTTATTCTTGCCTTAAGGCATGATTGTATAGAACTCTACTTATGGTTTCATTCATTGCTCTTGTTATTTGCAGCAAAAGTTTTGCCTATTGTCAAGAATGAAATCTTACTCTTGTGTACTCTGTTCATTGCAAAATCGCTAACAATGGAGGTTGGTTTAGATTCCATACAGTGTTATGAGCACGTTTGGCTAAGGTTAAAATTAAGTAACTTTTTACCACCAAACATATTTAGATAAGTTACTTTTTTCTTGTTTGAGTAAAAAGTTACTTATTTTGAAAGTAAATATTACCTATATGTCAAAATAAGTAAAATTTTATGATTAGCCAAACACGCTCATCTTTCCCAGTAAATAATCTTTCACTTTTTCGTGTTTGCTCTTTACTGATAAAAAGCTCATTTTATTAAGGCTCTTCCCATATTCATGGATAGAATACTCCCATTTTGGAGTGCTATACTGGTCTCGATGACTTTTGTAGTGGCTTTTGTGGAGGTATCCTATTATTATTAGTATTAGCATCATTTAATGCTGTTTACTGAGAGAAGAGAAGGCAAACGAAGTTTTATTTACTTACTCAATTATCTAACATGGCTCAGGTGATCCCTCAAGCTATATGCTCAAGATATGGACTACGTTAGGTGCCAAATTCACCGTTTTTGTTCAAGTTCTGTTGTTCATTTTGTTCCCAGTATCTTACCCAGTTCGTAAGGTAACAATCTGAACTCGTGATCATTTCAAGTTTTGGCAGTTTCAGTGTTGATATATCTGGTTTCATTCTTGAAATAAATAGTGCTTTACTGAGGCTTGATGAAGAACCTAATTCCATCCTCTGCTAGTCAATCAGCTTGCAAAAGTGTCCAAGGAATGATAATGTTTGTTTAATAATGCGAATGTATTGAGTGTCAAAATTCATCGTTATACTTTCAATATAACAAGAGAAGAAGATTACTGCACTTTCCAACATCATAGAAAACACATGGGATCTTGATGAAAGTTATGACATATTTTTAAGCTTTTTACATGGCAGGTACTAGACTGGCTTCTCGGAAAAAACCATTCTGCAATTCTAAGAAGGGCAGAGCTAAAGACATATGTAGACTTGCATGGAATTAAGGTTTTGTATTTTTAATAGTCACTAATATAATTCTTTCAATGTTTTTCCTCTTTCGCCTTTCTTGGACGTGCACTGGGATAATTCAGTCTAGTTTCATGTAATAGCTCATAATATTGATAGATTAACATAAAGGTAAATCACACTAATTGCCTAAATTTTTGGAAAAAGCCTCTCACTCTACTCTTGGAAGTTAAATTTTCAACGTCCTAATCCCTGATGTTCTGGTTTTGTCAAAATGTGGCCCTTCTTTTTTAAAAAAAAAAATAAAAAATCGATGAGTATGCATAGATAGTTAATGTAAACTTATATGGATTTAATGTGAAATAGGAAGAGATATAATTTAATTCCCAAAAAAGACACTCAATCTTGTGCTACAACTTCTAACATGTTAAGCACGCGGTATATAATTTGAAGAATTAGAAGAGTGAGCTGTATATTTGTATAATGCACGGGATTGCACATATATATTGACTACTAGAGGGCAATTTGATACGTTTATGGACAGACTGAACAAAATGACTAAACTGTGACTAGATCAAATATTAGGGACTAAAATGCTTAAATTGGAAAATATGTTACAAAGCGAACTTTAAAGAATTTTGAAGGACTGTTAAGTGTGATTTATTCTTGGCTCAATTTCTCAGGCAGGGAAAGGTGGAGATCTTACAGATGATGAAACAACTATTATAGCTGGAGCAATGAACATGACACAGAAGACTGCCAAAGATGCTATGACACCAATGTCTCGAACTTTTTCACTCGACATAAATTCTAAACTTGAATTGTACGTATCTTACACCGTTTATGACTTATTTGATAAGGTAGACTGTACTTTTATTCCATAGAAGGAAAAAGAAAAAGAAAAAGAAAAAGAAGCTAAATTCTTGTTAATTCTAGTGTTCAGTAGCCATCTAATACTGCGTACAAATCATGCCTTTAGTGCTACTTTCATAAACCGACTGACTCTTAGAATCATTATTCTTCTTTCATTAGGCAGACAATGGGGATGGTTGCGAGCAAGGGACATAGTCGTGTACCTATTTACTCGGATGATCCAGCAAATATAATTGGCCTCATTTTGGCATGCATTTGTTTCCCGTGTTATGGCTATAACTGTTCCTTCCGATGACTGTAACATCTGGATCTGAATTTTTTGTTTGAATCCCATTATTCTGTAATCATTTCCACCGCGTAAAGGTTTGACAGCTACCTTTCTTTTTTCAATGCTTCCGTGAAGTAAAACCAATGTTTATGTAAATATTTGTCTCCTTCTCTGGATTTAGGTAAAAAGCTTGATCTTCTATCATCCTGAAGATGAAACACCCATCAGAGACATGACTATCAGGAGAATTCTCAGGTATTGTGATCGTTTATCAAATTAGATTTATGGAGCTCGTTGTATGTATGGTACACAGTACTTGACAGCACAAAGAACAAAATTTTCATTTTTTTTTCCTAATTTAATATTTTTTAGTACTATCAAATCCTCTCTACCAAACATGACTGAAGAGTTTACTTAGAAATTAGAAGTATTTATCTATGAAGGTTCTGAAAGTGAGCTTCACAGCTGACTTTTCGTTTTCATGTTTAACAAACTGCTATTTATAGCTCAACTTGTTTGAACAATCATCTTCCATTGCAGGGTATATGACAATTGGCCACTGTATGATGTACTAAAGCTTTTTCAAAAGGGTCATGGCCATATGGCCGTTGTTGTGAAGTCCGTGAGAGACACAAAAATAACATCTGAAAGGGCCAAAGGACAGTGCTGATTTGACGAGTATTAATATTGTTTCAGATTCAGAACCTACAGAAACAGATGGAATAGGTAATTTATAGTCTCAAGTTAAAGAGTCCTCGTCTCATAACTGTTGACTATATGGAAATATTTCCATATCCTCAGTAATATTGTTTCATTTTCCAGATTGAGGGTGAGCAACAAAATGGAAATATGTTCTTAAGCTTATAACTTACAACTCAAAGTTGGGTTCCACCTTTGTGTAGAACGTTTCCTGTGTTTGTAAATTATTACTACCATTCTGATGGTAGACTACTTTTCAGGAATTAATCCTCCATTAGGTGAAAAAGAGCTTCTAAATAACTCCTCTGTTTATCATGGAGATGGTGAAATTCAATCTGATTCGTTGTATGACGGGATGAAGGAATCAGATCTCTCTCTGTTTTTAAATAAATGGGAGCAAGATTGTGGACAAATTTCAAATGAAGAGTTGGAATCTCTTAAAGGTAAATACATAAGATGAGGAGGTCATTGGTATTATAACAATGGAAGATGTCTTGGAGGAACTTCTACAGGTAAAGTTTCGTGAATTCTAGTCAATTGTTGAAACAATTACCTAATTGCGTTTTCATTCGCCTTCCCATTTTCATATTTATGTATTGAAGTCGATAAAAGCATATAAGAATCAAAATGTTGACCATGGCATTCATGAAACTCCCATAGAAAAATGAAATGCTCATGGAAAACAATTTTGGGTGGTACGATTTTAGGTTATGAAGAGCCTAATAATCTTTTTCATTTTTTGTTTTTTTACTGCTCTCCAGGAAGAAATACTGGATGAAACTGATCAGCATGTTGAAATCCACAACAAGTGAGTGGCAACTTTGTCGTCTAAGTAATGCATTCTACTACAATTTTGGCATGTTTGGCAATGTGGATTAGATATTACTGGCTAACTGTTTAGTACAGTCTAAGGCCGCATACCAAACCTTTATTACATGATTAGCAATTGAGCTGGTGATAATGATGTGAATTTTGATTTTATTCTCAGAATTAGAGTCAAGTTTCTATCTTCAACAAGATCATCATCTGCTTCTAATGGACTGGCTTCAGTCTCGCAACTTTATTGGAGTACTCCTGCAACGTCTCCTTCTTCATACTATCATACTCCCATAATCAGCTCACCGATCCCTTCTTATATTCCGTCCCCATATACTCAAAAACTGTATTCTTCTCCCGCAAAGCCAAGTTTGAGTTTTTCAAGATCTATAGGTTCTATTCGCAGCTCATTACCATCTCATCAGGTATATATTTACAACAGAAGATAAAGAAAAATGTTGTGCATGATGAATTTTTCTTACCTGTTTAAGCTTAATATTAGTACTCTGCACTGAGAAGATTAGTAATAGTACTCGTCTAATAATCGTACCATTTTATTTCATCCAAGAGTTATTTAAAGATTTCCTTCCCCCCTTAACATTAAATCTGTCCCAAATCAATAAGGTCCTAGGAGTCGGTACCTTTTTTACGGGTTGTGGGGGTGGAGCGGAAATCTGAGCGTGCCTAGTAGAGGAGGAGGGGGTTTGAGATTGATTCCTGCCTCGTCTTTTAGTAGAGAAAATGAGAACCAGAGGAGGGGGACAATGTCCTAGAGTCAGTACTTAAGGCAACACTTAGAGTTTGTCTATGGGACTATTGGATTCTAGGATTCAGTACATGTCTGTTTGATCACCTCTGTCCATTTTCCACGTCTCCTGGAAGATCAAACCAGCATGTCGATGCAAGTGAAGGTATAAGCACGTAAACATGACTAATAGCAATGGCATAAATACCATGAATAAGCAAGTTCTTGGTAGTCATCTTTTTATATATTTTGAAGCTCTGAAACAAAAATTCTTGCTGATACTGTTCCATGTAGAAATGAAATTTCTTTCTCTTAGATAGATGAGCTCATAAAATTTCTGTTTTCGCGGTCTCCTTCAATTTCTCGCCACTTCTCAAATTTATCACACGGGAGGTTCTGATGGGCAGTCGATGCATAACTATCCTACTCTGTCGAGATACCGAGCGGAAGGAAAATGAAGTATGCAAACATTGAAATTGTATATTTGATCATTGTCCGTTGTCCCTCGTGTTTTGAATCTGCCATGTAATGGACGAATTTCTTGTTATTAATGATCAATGTTTATGATTATATATTTAGCTCCCGTTTGACACTCATTTTCTTTTCATTCTCATTCTCATTTTTTTTTATCTTTCTTCATTTCAACCACACATTCTATCAATAAAATAATACAACACATAAACCTAAAAATTCTCATTACTTTTTAACCGCACATTCTTCCATCAATCACTATTCCAGAATTTATTTTTTCTCCAAAATGGATGTCAGACAAGGGCTTAAGTATCAGTACATGAATTAATCTTCTTGATGCAAACTCAAAAAACTGCATATAAATCATCGCTTCCCTTCTTAGGAGGGGTTTGAATGACACACTTGTAAGTGTTATGTCCTAACTCTAATCAACTTTGGAACATAAACACTTTTAATATATATTATCAATGTGTTTTTATGGAAATATCTATTATTAAATTAAATTAATATTCTAATAAATTAAATAATAGAATCCGTAGATTTAAGTATTAGTGATTTGTTAATCACAAGGAATTGTGATTGTAAGATACAAATTACATATGACTGAACCTTAAATCGTCTGTGGTCGTATGTAATAAGGAGATACGAATATCATTATTACGAATAGACCATCACGTGTGACATTTCTTACTTGTGAAGTAAGTAGTTGATCTCAAAAGTTAAAGTGTGGTAACATTTGAATGAATACGTTGATATTTTGTTATAAAACAAAACATTGGAGACCCGTTGGGAGATTTCACATGGATAACTATTTGAGTGTCAGTGGTTAATCTCTAACGTTCGATAGTGAAATTTGTGCTTTGACTTAAGATCATCATAGTGCCTTAAATGAGATAATCATACTTTGGTGATATTAGATGTTGCTCTGCCAAGTGTCGCTAATACAACATCGTTTGGGTTGTAAATGATTAATAGAGGATTCGTCACTCTTAGATAGTAAGAAATTATCTAGTTAAATTAATAATGAAATCATTGGCCAAGGTGAACTCATAAGTCGAAAATGAGTTTTCGACTTATATTGACTTAACTGTGGGATAAAAGATATGATCGATAATTGAGATTGACACATCCATATCTCATAATTGATCGGATCATTTTGACGAAAAGATTATAGTTTCACGATAAACGAATAAGTTTGGTTTTGTCATACCACGTGAATTTTCCGTCACATGTATTGCCTAACACATTGTTGATGTCAATCTGGGACTACGGATGTGAATTGATGATAAATTAAAAGGGGTATTTTAATTTATCAATTTTGATTAGATCAAAATAATAATTTAAATCGTTAGGTATCGTGATCAGGAACTTAATTAGTAACACACAAAAGAGAACCAGAAGAATTAGATTTATCAATTAATTAATTAACAAGTGTTGGATAATTAATTAATTGTGACTTATTAATAGGTCCGAATTAATTAATTGGATTAATTAATTCAAGGACCAGATTTAGTGCGTGTCTGAGCGTGCTTGTAAGTTGTTTATAATTAAATTCCAGACCGTTGATTTGTGCAATGGCTTGATTTCAAACAAATGGATGGACTTCTATGTCAGTCCATTATTTTCCTTTCCTGCCCTCAATTTAGCATTGCACACATCCACATCACCCACCCTACCTACCACACTAATTTATCATCCTTCACACCCATGTGCTTTCCCCTTTTATTTTCATTCGCAATGAACGTTCCTCGACTGAAGTCATCTGAATAGGGATGGCAACGGGGCGGAGCGGGGCGGGGCGGGGCGGGGTAGGTCATTTCCTCGTTTAAATTTTTTTTTAGTTTTTGATAATTTATTTTTATTACTCATATTCATTAGATTTAGACAAATAATTTTAGTTGCTATTTTCTATTATAACTAATGAAAATTTTCATTTAAAGTATTGAATTTAAAATAAAAAAAAATTTAACGGGGCTGGGCCCCATCCCCTGCCCTATTACCCTTTTAAGTAGGTTATCCCAGCCTACGGGTAAAAGGTTTTTCGGATTTTTTTGATATCCCTACATCTGAAATGGGTCGCCGAAATAGATACTAAAACCAATCTTTATATGTGATTTTCAGCTGGCCCTAAGGACGCAAAGGCCCAGCTCCATAAAATTTTTACGCTGAACTCACCCTGCCCCCATTTTCCGGCTGTAGCAGGCAACAATTTGGTCGATTTACTAATCTACTGCACACATCTTCCACCTTCAATCTCCCGCGACCAGGTTGACCTTCAATTTCGTGATAAAAAGCCAAGTTCCGTTTGTATCCCGACAGCACCTTCAACCAGGCATCACATTTTCAATGACCATTTTCCGTTTTAGCCGGCAGTGTTCATTTCACAGTAGAGGTAAACCCGCAAAGGAATTGCACCTCAACCACAAGATCTCGCTAGAGTAAAACATGGATCCGTTCATTTCTCCAATAGGTACACTACATTCTTACATTTTACATTCGACTCAAACACATTCCTGAACTTTGATGTTCTGCTTGTGTACAAAATGTAATTTTTCCGTCATTTGCTTCAGACGGGGTATCACCCGCACTCATCTACCTCCAATGGCCCTCCCATTCAAATTCAATAGGGGGGCCCGTAAGAATGCACAATAGAATTCGTATGAGATGAAAATCTTCGTCTCTGCTTTTGAGACGTCTTCGCTGACAGACACAGGAATGGGAATTGCTTCACTAAACACAGCTAGGAGACACTGATTCACTTGTTCAACACCAATTCCAGCCACAATTGGAACAAACAACAGCTCAAAAATAGATGGGATGCCCTCTACATGAAACACAAGAAATTCGAAGAATTGCTCAACTACAGTAGCATCTCATACGACCTGTCGACTGGCAAGATTGGCGCCTTAAAGGAGTGGTGGGCTCGAAAGATTAAGGTACCATCGTTTCATAAACCTCCAGTCATTGCTTACGTTTATGTGATCCACTGAAACGGTGTTGTAGGTTATAAATGCACAATGGAATTAGTTCACGACATTATTGTTAGGCCCTATTTTCATTTAGGGAACGTGGCAATTAATTGATAAATTAAATAATTGTTGTCTGTGTTCTGGGTGTTTTATTTCTTTATAGTTATATCTTACTTATCGAAGCTATAATTTTTCGGAATAGATAGTTCTTAGCCAAGTGTTTCATTGTATGCACATGTTCTACATCTGTTCGAAATAGGAAAATTGGTTTTTCATCCTCATTTCCGGAATTGTCTTCCCATTTAGCTTTCTTTTTTTAACTGCTTTTTGTGTATGACCATAATTTGTGAAAACCTTTCCGTTTCTATGGACATAGGAGAACAAAGAATACAAAGAATTTAAGGACAAAGATTGTCGAGAGGTGTATCGATACAAGGCTTTATTCGGGGACGTTTTCGACTGCGATAAGTACACAGTCACACCTACAAAGCTATGTAGAATAGGTTTTGCGATGTTTGAGACAATGGTCACGAAGATCACCATGATGAGATCCCCGGTCGATGTGGAGAGCAGCGGCTCAAGCGATGAGGGTAGAGAACCCGTACCGGCTGTAGCAAGCATGGATGTGTCTGACCCGCACAGTGGGGATAAACGAAAGGTAGCCAGAGATCGAGCCAAGGAGAAGAAGAAGTAGAAGCTTTCGTCTGGTGATGTGTCCTGCTCGGTAGATCGTGCGACCACAACCAGTGAGAAGGTTGCTGCCAAAATTGACCACATCATTGGACCTGCTATGTCAGACCCGAAGACATGCATGAAGGAGTTATTGGCAACAGGTTGACTAAAAAACAAACTGATTTGTACTACTGGACGTGCACTTTCCTCTCCCAAAAACGTAATAGGGAGATATTGGACATGCAAGACAATATGAACGAAAAGTTCAAGTGGGTAAAGTGGAACTGGAAGGAGTATAGGAAAGCACAACCTCGGTGATAGCTATGTTCAAGTGGGTTGCGTGGACATCCGTTTCACATTTTATTACCGTTGTTGGGATTTGGTTATGTTTAAATTTATTACATTTGAGGTGAAAACATTTTCTATTTCGATTTGTACGATAGACTATTGCCTACTTTTTTCATGTGTAATCTTAAAACTGTTGCTTACGTGCATGGCTATTATTTTAATTCTTATTGATTTTGAGTAGGCTTGCAAATAATTTCTGCATGTGGATGTATGTTATAATTTAGGTGAAAAGAGTACTCATGTA